CAAGTTGACAACTTGATCAATGGTTACCATGTATAAGTACAAGTACAAGATCTCATTAGGTCTTATCTTAGATAGAATAGGTGAAAATGATAAGAACCCTTTGAGTTTTTCAAAAGCTTTGACACTGAAGAGTTTTCCTAAAGTCAGAGATGTTTTTGAAAATTTTTAAAAATGACAAACATCATTCTGTCGACTTACACATGAATCAGCTCAAGGTAGCTATTCTATTAGTTAACCTCTGTACTTTTTTTTATTGAGATCAATGTCTTCATGTTTAGAATTATTTAAACCTTTTCTGGGTTCCCCTCATCCTTTTTGGTTAATCATGTAATCAAAAATTTTACCTAACGTGATTATAAAGACATATTTGCTTAGGTTAAGCTTTATATTATATTTTTTTAAGGTATTAAAGGTCTTTCAAAGGTTTTTTAGGTGCTCGATAAAGCTTTTACTTTTAACTATCATGTCATCCACATATATTTTTATGTTGTAGTTGATTTAATTTTTAAACACCTTGTTTACCAACCTTTGATAGGTCACCCTCCCATTCTTCAATCTAAAAGGCATTAACTTGTAACAGTAAAGGCTTTTCTTGGTGATAAAGGCTATCTTTGTTTATCATTCCTTAACATTTTAATTTGATTGTAACTAGAATAAGCATCCATGAAGTTGAAGAGACCATGCTCAACATTATCGTCCACTGATCGATTTATGCTAGGGAGAGAAAAGTTATCTTTGGGGCATGCTTTGCTCAAGTTGGTAAAGTCAATACACATATTTCATTTTCATTTTGCTTTTTGACCATGACCACATTGGCTATCCATCAGTATAGTAGACTTTTCTTATAAAGCTTACTTGTAGTAATTTGTTGGTCTTTTCCTCGATGGCCTTTTATCTTTCTAGGGTAAAAGTTTTCTTCTTCTGTCAAACTAATTTTACTTTGGGATTATGTATCCTATGAACTATCACTTTGGTATCAATCCCAGGTATATCAAATGGTGCCCAGACAAATAAATCAGTATTATTTATCAAAAGCTGTATTAACTTATCCTTATATTGAAATTTGGTTCTGATATGCATATGTTTTTTAGTGATGCTATCCCAGAACAATAAGGCTACCAAATCCTCGACTAACTCAAGTTGACTTTCATCTGAGTCCAATCTTTGGTCAATTATTTCTTTTTGTTCGATTAGGTTAGGATAATTGCCTATGAAAACAGATCTCGATGTGATGATCAGTATGTTGTTAATGACAATGACTTAGAATATATATGTCATGAAATTGGTATGTATTTTTCATTTCATATTATATTTTGATTGGCATATTAGCTTAGTCCAAATGACATCTATTTGTTCATACTGGTTTAAGAGCTTAGTTGTTTTTGGAGTTACCTAAAAAAATTTTAAAAATAGAACAAAAATTTTCATTTTTCTAGAGCTTAAGAGCTCAGAGTGACTTAAAAGTACGTTTTTGTCATATTGATCTTACATTTTATATTCTTGTTTGTAACTTTCTGCTTCTTGTCAGCTTTCATTGTTTACCTTTCTTTAGTGCTTTTAATCTCAGCCAAATTGTCAATCTACTTTTTAGTGCTCCTTTTCATTATGGTTACATAACACTGTTTTACTGTAAACTCATTTCTCTTAAGCTTTCAAACCCTATTGGGTGTTGAAAATTTCACTTTTAGATAAAGAGTTGAGCTTATGAGTCGTATAATAGATTGACTAGGTTAGTCCAATATCATGTTATAGGTTGATGGGACATTGACTACTATAAATTCTATGATCAAAACGATAGTCTTTAGTTTTGTCCCATAAGAAATTAGTAACTTAATTGTTCCTTTCATCAGTGCCTATTCATTCCAAAATCCTATTAATGCCATAATGATCGTTTGTAGCTGGTCTTCACTAATTCTTATTTTTTTTATGATACCGTAATACATAACGTCAGTTGAGCTTCCATTATCAAACATGATTCTCTTGACTACATGGTTGTATACCACAATTATGATCATTATAGTGTTGTCATGCGAGTGTTGAATTCTTTCAAAGTCTTTTGAGTTGAATAAGATCGACTCATCTCTTCAATCTTTTTTTTTTGCCTAAATGCTTATTGTTATAACCATTCTTGGATTAAACTTTTTTTTGGCCAAGGTAAAATTACCTTCAATGATCATATTAATCACTCCAACGATCAGCTTATTGTTATCAGTTTGGATCTTTTTTTGAATTAGTTTATCTTTTTAAACTTTTTTTTTCATTTTTTTACCTTTTCTTTCTGTTCTAGGTGGGCTCTCTTCAATTTTGTCTATAGTCTATTTTGAGTTGGCTTTATCTTCGTTATTTTATAAATTTTCTCAATTGACCTCTCTTTATCAAGGATTCGATTTTATTTTTCAAGTCAACACAATTTTTAGTATTATGGCCTATATCCTTGTGAAAGCACATATTTTGGTTGAGTCTCTCATTGTATTTTATCTTAATGGCTTCAGCTATTTGAGGTTGAAGTTTCTTTCAATTTGTATTAGAATCCTCTCTTGTGAGGTATTTAGTGCAGTGTAATTTTTTTTTCATTGGGGCTTCTAGCCTTATGTCGTTTCCCTTTTGGGGGAGGATTGCAGAAATCTTTACCTTTCTTATAATCGAAAAGAGGGATGAACCTTTTTTACCTCAGTTGTTTTTCATTGTAGCTTTGGTATTCATATATTTCTCAACTATCAATAGAACATCGACTAGAGTTTTAAGTGATTTTAATGACAATGTTAGCTTTATGTGGTACTATTTATCGTTGAGTCTACTTGTCAAGGCGATCACAATGATCGTTTATTCCAGATCTTTAACCTGCAGAGCCTTCGCATTAAAACATATGACATAGCTCTTCAACGATTCACTACAACCTTGATGGATTGACATTAAACTTATAGTTATCTTATTCACTTTTTGACTATTTACTAATCGAGACAGAAAAGAATGGTTGAGCTTTTTGAATGTTATAATTGACCTTGATTCTAGGCTGCTATACCAAGATCGAGTTGCGCCCTTTAAAGTGGTAGCTAGGCCTTTGCACATCAAGGCTTTGCTGTACCATACATCATCATGTTAGTCTTATAAAGTTTTAAATGATCGAAAGTGTCAAAAGTACCATCGTAAGTCTCCAAGATCGACATTTTGAATCCTTTGGGAGACATGGCTCTATCATTCTTTTTAGTGAAAGGTAAGGTCTTTAGGAACTTAAGCTCATCCTTAAATGCTACTACATTTATTTTCAGCTCTTTCTCCATGGCATGTATTTGAGCTTCCAAATCTTTGTTTGGTTGGGGTTCAAGGTTTGTCTATTTGGATTTTTTGATTATGGCATGTGTTAAATTATGACTGGGGTAATGGCAAACTGAAGTGTTATACTATTCTTCTCTGGAGGCTGAGGAAGCTTTCAGCTCTTCATAGCTTAGTTGTCTTATCATAGTTCCTTGGCTGGAGGTAATTAGATCGAACACCTTCGAAGCTTAGGGTAGGGTTATAATTTACAAAATTTGTTTAAGGGCCTATATTTGCTCAGTCAAGGCTTTGAATAGTTCCATGATCGGGCCTGTCTATGGTGGGGGGTTGTTATGAGTGCTGGCTATTGCATGTTTTTATTCTAGTTAGGATGGTCGTTTTTTTTCCTCTACAATTCTATTTCTTGGTGGCATTATTTTGTGCTCAGGTAGTGAATGAAAAGGGCCCTTACTTGGTGCACCAAATGTTTGTGTCAAGCTTTGATCTCAAGGTCAGATCTTAGAAAAATAGAAGAGAAAGGTGCTTAGAGGCAAAGGCAAGGGTGTTATTTGCATTTGCACTCCAACATACAAGTTAGAACTGATGAGATCGAAAAGAAAGTAATAAAGAGAAATAAGAGTAGTCGGGACCTATCTTAATGGTGTATGGGCCTTCATATTTATAAGTAAGCAATGAATGACTATTGGAGGACTAAAAGGATAGTGCCAAGTTGATATGACACTGGACGTATCTGACTGACCTAACTGTTAGGTTAACACAAATGATAAAATTATCCCTAATTATTTACTGAAGGTTTCTAATATGAAAAAAGATTACTATATCTTTTTTATCACCAAATGCCCTTAACAGTTGTCAAAGTTAACGGGCATATACGTAAAAAAATAACATACTAAAAAAGTCAAATGTCACGATATTAATTTAAATAAAAAAATTGAATTGTTAATAATTTGATTAAACTTAATTATAGAGATTTAATTTGAAGTTTTGAACACATTAAAATAAATAGATTAATTTAATCATTTAATTAAGGATTATTAGACAAACGGTGAGATTGATTTCGATGATATTAAAAATAATGATAGAGATGAGATTATTTTATTATAATAATAAAATTAAAATCAATGATAAAAATATATATTTAGATACAAATGTAACAATAAAAATAAAATAAATTATAATAAAAAATAAAATAATCATTGAAAATATTAAATTAAAAATTAAATGTAATGATAATTTATTTTTATAATAATTATAAGGACATGAAAAAAAGAAAAAATAACGCTGCGTTTATTCACTGCACCTAAAAGCTTCAGTTCAAAAAAACTGCTCATCGTGCCGGGCGATTAAACCTAAACACCATGTCAATACGATTCACACTATTTTTTTAATGCAAAAAGTGATCTCACTGGAGTTACGTTTGAATCCAAACTAGCTCCAAGTATACAGACTAACGGTCCAATTTGACCCTACGAAAATGCAACCTTATCCCATAGAGAAATGTCCAATGGAGCAATGCCAAGTCATTAACAAGTAACCAGGTGTATCCAATTCTGGCTTAATAAAGCCCCAAGTTGCTCATGTGGCTCCACTTTCGGCTAATATTATGGACTCTCTTAATCCTCAAAAAGTGAAGTGAAAAAACTTATCAAACTATTAAAAGAACAAAAAAACTTATCAAACTAGAGAGACTGAACTGTCGAACTGCTTTTGATTATCATTCGCAAATGGCAGCTACTGCAATGACCACTCTCCCCCAGTTCTGTGGGATAAGACTCAAAATTTCTGCAGCTTCAGTAAGGAGCTTGGTTAGTGATTCATGAACTTGGTTCTTTTTGGGTTCAGGATTTTTAGGTTTACTGTTAAAAAATTTTCTTTTTGGGTTCATTTTTAGGTTTACTGTTAAAAATTCCTAGTTTTATGTGGAAAATGCAGGCAGCGGTTCAACCAATGAGGCGCAAGGGAAAGGGTGCTCTAGGTGCTCGCTGTGATTTCATTGGATCTCCCACAAATTTGGTCAGAAATTTCATTCATGTTGCCTGGTTTTCCCGTTTTATCTCTATATTTTACTTAATTCAACACCATATATTATAAAGCTTGAACTTCAGTATAAAAACAACTATTTGGACAGATAATAGTGACAAGTACAAGCCTGATGCTCTTTGCTGGGAGATTTGGGTTGGCTCCATCAGCAAACAGGAAGGCCACTGCTGGACTGAAGCTTGAAGGAAGGGACTCTGGCTTGCAGACTGGTGACCCAGCTGGTTTTACTCTTGCAGACACTTTGGCTTGTTGTGTTGTTGGCCATATTATTGGTGTTGGGGTCGTTCTTGGCCTTAAGAACATTGGTGATCTGTAAAGAAACTGAAAGTATTTGTGTGCATTTGTGTGCATTTGTGTTGATATGCTTTGTAGTTTATACCAATTTGCTTATTCCCCAACAGCAGGTCTTCTCTCTTCCTAAGGCCTTAAACACACAAAATAATAACAACAGCCGCAGCGAATTAAAGAAACAAATGAATCTCCATAATCGTTAGCTAATTTAGTTAAGGGTTTTTTTTTTTTTTTTTTTGAAACGAGTTTTCACTTTGTAAGTTAGTTAAGATGTAAAACTTAGCTCAACACTGCTTGACTTGCTGTCGGGACCGCAAATATTGGTCTCATGGGCCAATTGGTTATGGGTCAGCCGAAGCTTTTGGCCCTGGGTTTTGAGACATCGACTTATGTTAAAGTTGCAACCATATGTCCGAAAGACACATTGGATTTTTGGACAAAGTTTTTTTTTTTAGAAAATGTTTACCAATGAGCTGAGCACAAGTCTACAAGAGCAAGATTCACTCATAATTATAGTTTTTGGCTTGTAAAATTATTGTGATCCTTATTTGTTTAGGCCTAGCTTTTCTATTTTCTCAAAAAAATTAAGTATTTTATTAGTAATTTAATTTTTGTTTTAACAGTTCTAATCTATAACAATTAAAAAGCCATAGCAGCTTGAAATTGCAAAAATATATTTATGTTTTTGAAAATAATTAAACTATATGACCTAAAAGAAAGAAGAAAAAGGCTTTACCTTATTATTCATATATTCATATAAAATAAAATATTAAAATATATATGTCTATATCATATTTTTTTATAAGAATTAATATTATAATTTATAACAATATAAAAATATAAAATATATTTTTTTATTTATTTATTAAAATTTTAATTTTATTTTAAATTTTCAAATCTAATGTTAAATGCCGAAGCATGTCGTGTTACCCAAATACACTTTACACGTGTGTGCTGTAAGCTCCTTAAGCTCCAAGACCAGCGTTACTACAGCAACAAAGCGGAGCCCTAACACCTGAGCGAGAAGGCATAAAAGAAAAGCTTCGCAACTCCTTCAGAAAGAAAAACCCCAGCTCCGATACACTTACCCTTAGGGCTTCGCTCTTTCGGCTGAGATTGGAGGGTAACAAAATGAGTTCATGGAACTACGTCGTAACGGCTCACAAGCCTACAAACGTTACCCACTCTTGTGTCGGCAACTTCACCAGTCCTCAAGAGCTCAATCTCATCATTGCGTACGTCTTTTTTCCACTTTGATTACTATATATTTGCTCTAATTTTTACTTTTCTAATTATTTTTTTTTCGTTTCTCCATTTTTCGACAATACAAGAGCTAGGGCTTTAATATAGTTGAGCAATTTCTTTCTTTTTCTTCTTCTTCTTTTATAATAATTAATGATGAGGAATTTAAGAATTAATTTATCTCCTGCTTGCAGGAAATGTACTCGAATTGAAATCCATTTGCTTACTCCTCAAGGATTACAGGTGTTTAGCATAATTTCTGGTTTCTCTTATGGTTGAAGATGAAATATAGTACAAAAATTGGTGGATTTTTCTATTTCTTTCCATTTTAAAATTAGAAATGGTTCTTATGATGTCTTGCCTTGCTAGAACAAGTAAAAGATTAAGAATTGTAATTTTTATATTGCAGCCTATGTTAGATGTGCCAATATATGGAAGAATCGCGACACTTGAACTTTTCCGTCCGCATGTGAGTAAATGTCTTTATTCTTATAAATAATCTTTCATAGTCGACGTAATAACTTGTGATTTAATAATATATGTTTTGCATTTTGTGACAGGGTGAAGCACAGGATTTTCTATTTATTGCTACAGAACGATACAAATTCTGTGTCCTTCAATGGGATGCTGAGACATCCGAGCTTATTACAAGGTTTAAACAAGAATAAATATATATTGCTGATTCATTTCATATGGTTGTTTTGCTCATCTGTCAGCTTGTCAGATTTGATGTGTGCATACTTTATATTTTAGCACTCATTCTGCCTTGAACAATCAGTTTTAGTATCAAGCTCACTTTGGTTTCTCCCGTGGGAACTTAATTTTTGAAAATATGAACCTTAGTGGTGTTTGTTCCATTAGTTATGACATGATATTTTTCTGTAATAATGTCTGTTTCTTGCTAGGGGTGATTCTTCTCTCTGATATTTTCATAAGCTACTGTTTTTTGTTTGTTTACATTTTCCTAAAAATTTGGCACAATTTCTCTTGTTGCCACTATTTACAAACTGCACAACATCTGTTTGATGAACTTAGACAGAGGTAATGTGTACTTTGTATGAAGCTGTGGGGAATTTGATCTCGTCTCTATGCTGTGTGATTCTTGTTAAATTACTATTTCTGTTAAAAAAGAGAACAAAAAGTGTAACGAAACAGTGCTCCTACACTTTTCTTGCATAGATTGTGTTTTCTGGTTGTTCTTGTCTTCAAAGTATCGGGTAAGGGTTCTTTTATTGATGCCATTTGGGCCATGGTGATGTCTATACGAATTTGAGGGGTTTGTTTCTGATTTTCTTTGAGCAAACTTTCCTGGATCTAAGATTATAGGCTATTATGTGCAGGGCAATGGGGGATGTTTCGGACCGTATTGGTCGACCCACAGACAATGGACAGGTAATTATTGTTCATTTCAAACTGATAACTATTGTGGGTACAAGTGTTTCTCAACAATGCTGAGTTGTTTAACTTATTTTTCATTTGACTCCTGAAAAATTCATTGATTCCTTCTCCTGCTTTGCATTTTCTGCAGATTGGCGTGATAGAACCTGATTGTAGGTTAATTGGACTCCATCTATATGATGGGTTGTTTAAGGTATGCATGCTTGATGCTGCAAATTCCAACTTCACGCCTATACAATTTTCTGTTCACCATTTGCATTTTCGGAAAAGGTTGTACTTCATATTTTGTTGTTGTCTCAGGTTATTCCTTTCGATAATAAAGGGCAACTCAAAGAAGCATTTAATATAAGGTATTCTTCTTCTTCTTCTTGAATAAGTGATTCTTTTTGAATAAGTGAATAGATCTATGAAGCACCGACACAGCTCTAACCTCAACATATTCGTGTCGGATATATGTCTGTGCGTCCTTGGAAGAGATTGCTTATGATCCTAGTCTTACGGTTATCCCCTAAAATTTAATTTGTCTTACATACTGCTTCAATTTTGTTGCAGTAAATTGTTTTTCATTGATTAATTACTGCAATAGTTGTGGCCTATATTTCAGTATATATCTGGTTGTTTCTTTATATTGCCCCCTTTCTTTGCTGTCAATAAATCTTTTAACTAATCAAAACAGATTTATTATGTTCAATTAAATGAGCATTAGATGCTGCTTTAATGCAGTCTCCTTGATGTTACATCCTTATGGTTGCTCTCCATTTTTCAGGCTTGAGGAACTTCAAGTTTTGGATGTCAAGTTTCTCTATGGTTGCTCAAAGCCAACAATTGTAGTTCTATACCAGGTCTCAGTTTTCTTTGTAAATGAATATGATTCCGGACTTGTGGATTCTCTCTCTCTCTCTCTCTCTCTCTGCGTGTTAATATTTTCCAAGTTTAGGCATAAAAATTTTAAAATTTGTTGTTGTTGCCTTGAGCTAAAGACTTTGTGAAGTAATCTAAACTTGGTTAAAAATCCTAAAAGGAAATAGTGGTTTTTGCATGCCATTAAGCTCGAGTCAGTAGGATAGTGTCATTGAGCTGTTTTTGTTGGTAATGACCTAGTTCTCTTTTATTTATTTCATGTACTAAGTTTTATTTCTAAATAGACTGAGTTAATTGTTTGTGTTTCCTTTTATTTTATGCTTTTTCTTACAGGATAATAAAGATGCACGTCATGTTAAAACATATGAGGTTGCTCTGAAGGAGAAGGACTTTGTCGAGGGGCCATGGTCCCAAAACAATCTTGACAATGGGGCTGATTTGCTCATACCTGTGCCCCTACCTCTCTGTGGTGTCCTTATTATTGGGGAAGAAACAATTGTCTATTGCAGTGCCAATGCATTCAAAGCAATCCCAATCAGACCAGTACGTCACTTATCAAGTTACTGTTAAGTTTATACAAGTTCTTTAAGGATTGTCAGTATTAATTCCTTGTGGGTTTGACACTTTCTTGCTGATGTTTGATGTGCATTTCTAGTCAATAACAAAAGCCTATGGAAGAGTGGATGCTGATGGCTCTAGGTATTTGCTTGGCGATCATGCTGGCCTTCTTCACCTGCTTGTCATAACCCATGAGAAAGAAAAGTGAGTAGGCTTTTATTATTCTTTTCAAATGTTTGTTGTTAAACAGTTGGAGAAATTTTTTTGATTAAAAAGACATCAAAGCTTGGTTTAGGTTCTAGAAGCAGTGTGCATTATGAGGCCTTCTTAAGATTATGTTATTCATGTGTGTCTTGCAGGGTTACTGGACTAAAGATCGAACTCTTGGGAGAAACTTGTATTGCATCTACAATATCATATCTTGATAATGCATTTGTCTATATAGGCTCAAGTTATGGAGATTCACAGGTATGGTAGACATTAATATAATTTATGCTCTATGTGCTATTACCATAACCTGATTCTAAACTACTACTAAAATAAGTTTTGAGGGGACCATTATAACCTGATTCAAAAATTTTACTAAAATAAGTTCTGAGGGTCAAATGACGGATCATAAGTTGATAATTACATGGAATACTCTAGTCTGAAATCTGAAGGATTTGAGGAATTCAAAAAGTTAGTTTTTAAGGGGCTTATGATACTTATTTTAACCTTCAAACCCTCTCCCCTCCCTTATAGAAAACTCCCAAATAGAATAGACAGAAAACCCTTTGCTCTCTTTTGGTATACTGTTCTACTCCCCTCTCCTTTAGAGTAGTATTTCCTCTCAAGTGAAAAACACTTTCCTGTGGCCCTAAGGATGTTTTATTGATGTTGGCTCCATATGATTCTGCTGTAAGTAAAGTGTGATATGTCATCATATATTTGTATTTAAATATTTAATAACTAGGATGCTTGAACCATGCTTTTCAGCTCGCATCATTATAGTATCAGTTGCCATAATGTGTTGACATTATGTAATGGTGTACTGATGCAGCTGATAAAGTTAAATCTACAACCTGATGCAAAAGGTTCATATGTAGAAGTTTTGGAAAGGTACGTCAATTTGGGGCCTATAGTTGACTTTTGTGTGGTTGACCTTGAGAGGCAAGGGCAGGGTCAAGTTGTCACTTGCTCTGGAGCGTACAAAGATGGTTCTCTTCGCATAGTTCGAAATGGAATAGGAATCAATGAACAGGTCTGTTTTGTGTTTTACTGAATTTCTTTACGCTTAATCAAGTTTACCTTTTAATACTTGCATAAGCTCACATATTGGTGCATTTATGCATGTTAGGCATCCGTAGAACTTCAAGGTATCAAAGGAATGTGGTCATTGAGATCCTCTACAGATGATCCATTTGACACCTTTTTAGTTGTTAGTTTTATCAGTGAGACGCGTATTTTGGCAATGAATCCTGAGGATGAGTTAGAAGAAACAGAGATTGAGGGATTTAATTCTCAAGTTCAGACTTTGTTCTGCCATGATGCTGTTTACAATCAACTTGTACAGGTGAGGGTTTTTTGCCATCAAATTGGCAGCACTGAGCAACGAGCATGAGCATGAGCATACAGTAGGTGAAATTTATTTTTCTAATGTTGCTGTTTTTTTAATCGAGTATTAGCATCATTTAATCTAGCTTTTATTCTAGTTTTACTTGTTATGCAGATAAGAGTTTTATGAGATGATCACTGGCTTATATTATTTGCCCTGTTGATAGTAAGAGCAAGCGAGATGTTTATGAAAAATACATATTGTATGTACTTCATGTTCGACTGATGAGAATCCTGGCAGGTCACTTCAAGCTCTGTAAGGCTTGTGAGTTCTATGTCTAGAGAGTTACGGCACGAATGGAATGCTCGACCTGGGTATTCGGTCAATGTTGCCACTGCCAATGCTACACAGGTACTTTTTCCAATCTTGTTGTATAATGTTGAGATTGGCAGTTTAGTTTGTTTGTAGGTGTCAAAACCATTATCTTTAATAATCTAATGATAAATAATTGTCTTTTTTTAGATGGTTTTTGCAATGGAATTTTTAGGCTTGATGTAAATCTTCTCTTGCCTTTCTACCCTTAGCAAATACCTTTTGTATAAGGGACTTCTTGTGTAAGTCATTGCCTTGTTTGTATTACAGGTTTTAGTAGCAACAGGGGGTGGCCATTTGGTTTATTTGGAAATTGGTGATGGCACATTGACAGAAGTAAAACATGCGCCGTTGGAGTATGAAATCTCATGTCTCGACATTAACCCCATTGGTGAGAACTCTAACTACAGTCAGCTGGCTGCAGTTGGAATGTGGACAGATATATGTGTGAAGATATTTTCACTTCCGGACCTGAATCTCATAACAAAGGAGCAATTGGGAGGAGAGATTATTCCCCGTTCTGTTCTTCTTTGCTCATTTGAAGGGGTACGAGTTTATTTGATATTCCTTCTGCTTTAATCTTATCTAGCTGTTATATTTTGCTTCTTTTTTAGTATGTTTGGAAGGTACAAGTTTATTTGATATTTCTTCAGCATTAATCTTATCTTGCTTTTATATTTTGCTTCTCTTTTGATATGTGTGATATTGCTAAGTGATAATGTTGACCTAGCTACAAAGGAATACATTGATTATTCACCACAAACTGATCTAGTAAGAGCACTGCAAGTAAGACCCTGTTGTTCACGTGGAACTGTGATATTTGGCTTTTATGTTTGTGTTCCTGATGCCAAGCATTGTAGTTTACTATATTCTCATACTAATGTTTAAAAGTTTGTTCCTTTTGCAGATCTCTTACTTGTTGTGTGCCCTTGGAGATGGTCATCTTCTAAATTTTCAATTAAACATGAGTAGTGGTGAGTTAACAGATAGGAAAAAGGTTTCTCTTGGGACCCAACCCATAACTCTTCGTACTTTCTCCTCCAAGAATACCACCCATGTATTTGCTGCATCAGATAGGCCAACTGTCATTTATAGTAGTAACAAGAAACTACTTTACAGCAATGTCAATCTGAAGGAAGTCAGTCATATGTGTCCTTTTAACTCTGCTGCTTTTCCAGACAGGTGTCCTTCCCTTATTCTCTTTCTTATAACTGCTTTTTAACTTGAAAGGAAAAGATTTCTCACTGCAGTGCATGTGGCAGAGACTAAACTTGACTAACATTATTACGTTGATCTGAAACTTTGATCCTGAGAAGTGGCTAAATTTACATTTTGTGATCATATGTATAATTGCTCTCAATAATGAGGTAAACTTGTCCGTGAATCATGTGCGTAGCCTTCTTCATAAATCATATGTAATATATTCTGTTTCTGCCATTCATTGATACCTCTGGCCTGTCTGAATGAATCTGCCTGCATTAGACTCCAATGTTTATGGTCAACTTCTCTAATATTAGGGATCTAATCACTAGCTGTCAGCATTGATTAGTTTGGAAGTTTGGTACTGGCAAATTGGGTTTTTGCCTTTTAGGGCCTTTCTTAAAGATGAACTTGGGTTAAGAGCACTTAATTACTGTTTCTTTTCACCAGCCTCGCAATTGCAAAAGAAGGTGAACTTACTATTGGCACTATTGATGATATTCAGAAGCTTCACATCCGCTCTATCCCACTTGGGGAGCATGCACATCGCATCAGCCATCAAGAACAGTCGCGTACCTTTGCAATATGTAGTTCAAAAAACCAGTCTAGTGCTGACGAATCTGAAATGCATTTTATTCGCCTGTTAGATGATCAGACCTTTGAGTTTATCTCGACTTACCCTCTTGATACTTTTGAGTGTGGTTGCTCTGTACTTAGCTGTTTGTTCTCAGATGACGCAAATGTATATTACTGTGTGGGGACTGCATATGTTTTGCCAGAAGAAAACGAGCCATCTAAGGTGTGATTTCATTCTTGTTTTCTACCTTTTTTTTTTTTTGTTTGTATTGGTATTAAATCTAAAGCTTTCATGTGAATGAACTTTTAATTACAAATTTTCATCTCATCACAGGGCCGAATATTGGTTTTCGTTGTTGAAGATGGGAAGTTACAGCTTATTGCCGAAAAGGAAACGAAGGGGGCAGTTTACTCTCTAAATGCTTTCAATGGCAAACTACTGGCTGCTATTAATCAAAAAATCCAGCTATACAAGTGGATGCTTCGGGAGGATGGCACCCGGGAATTGCAATCTGAATGTGGACATCATGGCCACATACTTGCCCTTTATGTAGATACCCGTGGAGATTTCATTGTTGTTGGTGATTTAATGAAATCAATTTCCTTGTTAATCTACAAGGTAAGTAATTGTGCTTCACAAACATCCTGCTAAACTTCACTTGCTTTCTTCAATCTTATCATGCTTATTTTCTGTTTGTGGGCATTTCTTGGCTTCATTGCCATTGGTTTAGATTCCAAGAACCCAAACTGGCTGTGTTTTCTAGCCACTTCTGTTCTTACTGATTGGCACATGATTCCCTCTTTGATTTCAGCACGAGGAAGGTGCGATTGAGGAACGAGCACGTGACTATAATGCAAACTGGATGTCAGCTGTTAAGATTCTTGATGATGACGTATATCTTGGTGCCGAAAACAACTTCAACCTGTTAACCATTAGGAAGAATAGTGAAGGGGCCACTGATGAGGAACGGGGCCGTCTTGAGGTGGTTGGTGAGTACCACCTTGGGGAATTTGTCAATAGGTTCCGTCATGGTTCCCTCGTTATGCGATTGCCAGATTCTGATGTGGGCCAGATTCCAACAGTTATTTTTGGCACCGTTAACGGTGTTATTGGTGTCATTGCATCACTTTCTTATGAGCAGTATGCATTTTTGGAGAAGCTCCAATCGAACTTGAGAAAGGTAATAAAGGGCGTTGGAGGGTTGAGCCATGAACAATGGAGATCATTCAACAATGAGAAGAGAACTGCAGAAGCCAAAAACTTTTTGGACGGTGATTTGATTGAATCATTCCTTGATCTGAGCCGTGGTAAAATGGGGGAGATTTCCAAGGCAATGGGTGTTTCTGTGGAGGAGCTTTCCAAGAGAGTTGAGGAACTAACGAGGTTGCATTGATCTGTTGTCAACGTTTTACCTTTGCTGTTCCATTTAATTTTTTTATCCTTTGTTGGGCCTTTATTTTGTAACATTATAGACTATTGTTATTGTAACTTTAATTTCTTTGTTCTTCCTGAGAATTGGGATTTCCTTCACTGTAACAGTTTATGGAGCACGGACGGTTCTAAGATTTGATTGAAAATCTTGGTCTGAGATCTGAAGGACCTCAATCCCTTTGGCGCCATTCATAAAATCTTTACATGCTATAATCTTGAAATCAACGTTTATGCTTGCTTTTTGCTTACCTTTGGCAGTATCCTGACATAAGAATTCGATTGAAGACCCCAGAATTGGAATGAATTTCAAATTCAAGATGGTGGAGGTTGTTTTCTGTTCATTTTCCGAGCGGCTGAAATATGTTACAGCATCCATCAAACCAACTAATCATTAACTAAAAAGTGGTAACGAACAACGGAAATCATGCTTGTTTAGAAATTCATCATAAGAAATCAAAATTTTTGCAGTTCATGAATTCCAAGATAGTCGTGTTCTTTTACTAAAATAAGTTGCATTAGAGAACAAAGTAGTTCTGGATCATGCATGCGAATGGTGAGAAATGCACTGGCAGGAACTGGTCACAATTACGATTCAAAAAATGAAGTCCTCAGGCTCCTGCTTCAGGAGACTTGGTCTGCCGCTGCAACTCTTCATCAGCATTTCTCAGGAATTGGTCCCAACCACTCCCAGGGCTGGTATCCAAGTAATCATATGGAACCGCTGTCTTCAAACCTGGCCGAACAGCGCATTGGCTCTCTACAATTCTAAACTCCAAATCATCTTCTTCCTTTGGTTTTTGCTCCAATTCCTCCCACGTGAACAGCAGAGACAGTGTAAATGCACCCCAGGGATTGAAATCCAACACCTTGACAAGCTCATTCTTGCTAACATAAACATCAAATGTATAATCTTCTGATTCAAATTTAAGCCTCACATTGTCATTAAAGAATTCTTCAATCAACACTTGAAGATCATTTTTCTTCTCACAAAGAGGATGATAAAATGTAGTGACCTCCCGCTGTGAAATCCCAACAAGCTGCTGACCCCGTACAAAGCAACGGAATTCCATTTCGGGTCGTAAAGATGGATACCACTTTCGAAGGGCAAGGAAGAAATTTGGGGGTCTTGACATGGTTTTGTCACTGCATGAATCATATGCATGACATAGATCGTGAATTAAGGAGTCAGATGCCCTAAGCAACAGAGCAATCTCGCTGAACGTAGTGCAACGGAGGGACCCAGATGTGCTTATCCACGCAGAGTCCTTTGGTGCACTCCAATTCAACTTAGGAAACACTGCCCCACCAAGGGTTTCAACTGATTCCTTTATCTTCAACTCAAGTTCAGGGAAAGAAGGAGGCACCGCTGGTTCTGCTTCATCCCCAGATCCTTCTAATACTTGATAATCTTCTTCCTCTTCTGGATTATGAATTCTATTGGGTAAGGCATCCTCGTTTGAGATTGAAACGGGAAGGAGGAAGGGTCCCGAATCATCAAGCAGGTATTGGACAAAAGATTCAGGAAGCTCATGAATGAGGGTCCTAATTGATACTGATTTAAATTTTGGGTACCATTCTTGAATCTGGCATCGGTTTACTTCTTCTTCCTTCATAGCTGCAATGATGAAGTAGCTGAATATTTTTTTTCTCAAAAAGCTAATTCACATGATCAAAATTCAGTATCAATATCAATGAATTTATAAACTATTTCCATCTAACAACAGAAGAAGAGTCACATATGAGGAAATCATGTCAGGGTTTTACAATATCAATTGACAATTCATGAAATCACAAAATAAAGTTCAGTTGATACAGTTTTCTTTTCCAGCCAATATTGTGCTAATCATAATCAATTAGAATTAATTAAAGAATAAAGCGCTAACCTCCTCTTTAAGGTTTGCAGGAGACGGCAGCAAAATGGGTTGCGGCAGGTTGAGAGTCAGAGAGCACAGCAGCAAAGACAAAAGTGACAGAAGGTGAAAATAGAAATAGAAGAAAGTGATTGGGCTTTTTGAAATTTCAGATCCAAAAATACTAAAATACTGAAGTAATTGGGCCATGAATTAATAAAATACTCCTGGGCAACAAACTGAGATGAGCCCATGAATTTTTGGGTTCAACTGAAGGCCAGAAAATTCTGATTATGCACAATTGCGTCACTTTCAGGAAAAAAGTGTGAATTTGATTAAATAGTTGATAGTTGAATTAAATGAGAAGGATCGGACTGTCAGTTTTGTATCTTTGATATTTACCTTTTTGGCAGATGTGTTCTTTTTTTACCTTTTTTTGGTCCCTTGAAAAGGAAAAGTTGCTTCAGTCCTTTACTCAAACTAATCCTAAAGAATGGCCAAGCAAACAATGAAGAACCCATGATTTTGGATTTTGTTATCTATCAAGGATTCAAAATCAAAACAGCCCTTTTGAAATGCAATGCAAGCATAGCCATATAAACAAATAAACAATTTTAATGTAGATAATGAAGGGAATAATTGCAGGTTTGGTAATTCTGATGAGTTGTGGGGGGGTTATTGGTGATAAACAAACGACAAGTAGCCAGAATCTTTTGATTCACTCCAAGAAAAGGAACTAAACGTTCCCATCAAGATCGGGTCCTACCTTTGTACCTTACCTTATGTATATCTATATATATATATATATATGTAAGGCACAAAAAATGGACAAATCTTTGCATTGCAGCTTAGTCTTGTCATTTGTATGATCAGAGGAGCAAAGAAGATAACCTTTTTTGTTATTAAAAGAGAAGCTGAATCTCACTGTTTTCCAAAGGTGCTACTTTAAAGTCCCCCGTACAATTCATAAAGAGGAGCATAGCATGGAATAGGAGGCTTTGTCTGGGACCAAAAGCATGTGATGGAACAGATAATATTTTGAAAAATCAATTGTTTATCTCTCCTTTCATGTCTTGCTACTAATGTATGTTTTTATTATGGTTGAAAATGACAGATTCCTTCTAGTCAGTAGTTATCCCCGCAGGTCAGAACAAACGTTCCTTTCTTTGAACTTACATCATCTTATTTTAGTTTAGGCTTCATAGTTGTTTGCTAACCAATGTTATATTTTAATTGCAATTTTCCAAAAAAAAAAAAAGAAAAAGGAAAATAAAAATCTACAATTATCTGAAATAATTTTTAATTAAAATCACTGTCAAATCCCATGAAATTTTAATCGATAATTATTACTTCTGTCTTATTGGTGGAACAAATAGCCCTATTTTTTTTTCAATTAGCTGCCATGTTGCTATTTTTTATAGAAGGTTAAGCTGCTAATTACTATTATTTTTAAATAAATTATTTGTTGACTATATATATTTTATCATTTGAAGTTTAGGTACGAAAAAATAAGATGTGTCATCGTAGAATACGATTTATTATTATTTTTTGAAATAAAATATAGTTAATGTACATGGTTAGTAATGAAGTTTACCTTTTAGACTTGGATGAGACCAAGTCAAAGGAATCGAATCCACATTGTGAAAAGACAAGAATGTCTTCTCCCTCACCCACCTACTTAATAAAACTGAAGGCAAAAAAAAACATTTCCGATGTCCTAGATCGTCCAAAATCCAAAAGTTGTGGACTTTCTGCTTCATAAATTATTGTCTCAATAATTAGGCAGAATTTTCCACTGCCCTCACTTTTTCAGAATAAACACCTCGTAAACCGTGACGCAGATCACCCTCGTCGCAAGAAACCCATTTTTTCCATTTTTTTTAAATTCCTCGATATTATATTTGGACTAACGAGTAACGAGGAGCGAATCTGATTCCCTTCTCTACCACAACTGAAAAGGAGAGCGAAAAAAGAAAGAGCACGAGAATTTGTACGTAAAACTTGTAAGCTTTTTTGTTCACTTTAGAAATACCAGACATCCATTTCCTTTTGTTCTCTCTCTTTTTTAATTCTACGAATTTGTCTTGTTCATATTTTTGAAGCTTTCTTTTAACTAGAACCTTGAGTTGCAGGTATGTTTGTTTTTCACTCTTCTTCTTATGGATTTCTTCAAATTTTGATTATTTTTAATATAATGATTTTGGTTTTTTCTTTTTCTTTTTTTAAATTGTTTTGGCCACAAATTTTTTTTTTTTTACAGCTTTGGGTTTTGTCTGATATGCTTTTCTTAGTCCTCGATAGAAACGAAGAAGATTTGTTTCTACTTCTTGTTGGGCACTTGTTTGTGTTTGGGTACTGAGAAAACATGGTAAAAAAGACTTTAATATTTGAATGTCAACGCCACATTAAAGTGTTAACAAAGAGCAAAAAAAAAAGGAAGAGGAATACTCTTAACGCTTTATATTTTGATTTTCTTTATGTAAGGCTAATTTAATTTAAATTTATTGCAGGCAAAGCGATGAGTAAAATATAAGAGGGTGGAGGAATTTATACTTTTATGTGAAGAGAGTTGTGTGAAGCAGCAACAAGAGAACAATGGCTTTTGAGCCATTGATTTGGTTCTGTAGACCACTGGCTGATGGGGTATGGAAAAGGGCAGTGTCTAATGCCTTTGGTGCATACACGCCTTGTGCAACTGATTCTCTGGTCATCACTATATCTCATCTGGTGTTGTTGGGTCTTTGTTTCTATCGGATATGGCTGATCAAGAACGATTTCAAAGCTCAACGGTTCTGTCTGAGGTCCAAATATTATAATTATATGCTGGGTCTGTTGGCTGCTTATTCTACTGCTGAGCCTTTGTTCAGGTTGATCATGGGGATTTCAGTTTTAAATTTGGATGGACTGCCTGGTCTTGCTCCATTTGAGGTAGGTTTTTCAGCCTTATGGTGCCTAATCATTTATTTATTAGTTTTTATAGGCTTTGATGATATTTTGGATGTGTCTATGTTTTGTTGTACGTTACTCCTTGGATGAATAGTTTGAATTGATATGAAATGGCTTCAAATTTTGTGTGAAATTGGGTTATATTTTTGTGTAAATGATTTCATTCCTATTGAAGGATGGAATAAAATGATAGCAATTGAGCTGCATTTGGTGAGCATGAATACAAATCTTTCTTCCCATAAGATAGGGAAGAAACTCCATAAAGTAGGGTGGGCAAAGATGCTTTAATCTATTTTCTATAATGTTACTGGAACAAGTATCAAATACATTTTTGCAGTGGAATGTCGTTTATAGTATAGTTTATTTTACAGATGGCTATTCTATCTAACTATCACTTTTCCGGGTTGGAGAAGCATTCGAAAAATTGAACTCTTGTGGTGGATAAAGATGTTTTCTGCATCTGAATGCTGCTATATGGCTCATGGCAATTGGCATTGTAATGTTCTAAGCTTTTTATGTACATTCTGGAAGAAAAAGGATGTGCGCTAGTCTGAATTGTTTCATTGATTATTTTCATGAGTCTTTCGAGATTCTAGTGCTATTCTTTGTTCTTTTTGGGACTAGCCCCTTTCAGTTTGTTATTCAGGAACATTACTACCCTTGATGAAAGTATATTATCTCTAAAGAACTGAGGAATCTTGGATGGAAAATTCATTGTTAACAAAGATTTTGTAGATTTCAGGATTCTTAACACTTAAGGCCATGACTCTCTATTCATTTTAAGGTGAAGAAGTTTTCTTCAAGGACTTGATTTTGTCTATTAAAACTTCTTTAGTTAATCCTGTTGTAATTGCTTCTGTATCTCACTTTGCCTGAACCATGATTACTTTCAGAATGCTTGGGCAGTTTGCTGTTACCATATTTAATCTTGTCCAGTAAGCTAATGCAGATCATATTTGTGCAGATTGTTTCTTTGATTGTGGAAGCTCTGACATGGTGCTCTATTTTGGTCATGATTGGTGTGGAGACTAAAGTCTATATTCGTGAATTTCGATGGTTTGTCAGATTTGGCCTCATTTATACCTTGGTAGGGGATGCGGTGATGCTCAATCTCATTCTTTCAGTAAGGGAGTTTTACAATAGGTATGTTTCTCTTGGTTGCTTAATGTGATTTTGCGTTGGATTAAGATGACCTCTTCTTGTATTGAAACTCTTGTTCCTCCTTTACCTCAACTACAGTATTTTAAATTTCATATTTGATGAAAAAAATTACAGTTCGCCCAGATAAACTTGCATTTATGTTATACTTGTGCAGCTCCGTCCTGTATTTGTACTTGAGTGAGGTCTTAATTCAGGTATGTTATCATACATTTCTTTTCTATACTCAAAAGACTTTTGTTAGGGACAATGATGAGTTTGGCTGAGAGGCCTGAGAATAATAATAACATGGTTGGTGATGCAATAATTACATTGCATCAATTTGAATTGTTTGATATTTTGTTTCCCTTTCTGATAACACTCTTAAAGGTAGGCTGATGTTTTGGTTTAGGCTTTGTTTGGGATACTCTTGCTGGTGTATGTTCCTGATTTGGATCCTTATACTGGTTATACCCCAATGGGGACTCAATTTGTGGATGATGGTGAATATGAAGAACTTCCTGGTGGAGATCAAATATGTCCTGAGAGGCATGTTAATATCTTTTCCAGTATGTATATCTTTCTGTACTTGTCTTTGATGCCTAGTGTTGAGCCCTTAATTAACATTATATGGTGGTTAAGATAAATTCTTATTCTCAAAAAGGAGAAATTGTAAATTTTATGCTGCCATGGTCGGTCTAAATATTACAGTTCAGCCATTATTGCACACTCATGATGAGTAATTTTAACTTTTAATATATGATGACATCACTTGTTTAATTGAAACGGGAATTCCATGTGCTCATCGCTGTTTAACTTTGAAATTACTGTGATGGAAAAATGGATATAAGGATGATCATTCTAGTGATCATTTCCCATTTCTTTTCCTCCTAGCCCTAATCATGTCATGGTGCAAATGCTATCCAAAGGTCTCTCTTGAGAATTTATGAATAAAATTTGTACATGTGTTTCGTTTCTAATTCTCTTGTCTTTGTTTCCCTTTTGCTAGGAATATTTTTTTCATGGATGAGTCCCCTCATGAAGCAAGGCTGTAAAAGACCTATCACAGAGAAGGATGTCTGGAAGTTAGATACTTGGGATCAGACTGAAACACTAAACAACAAGTATGTGCTGGCTTTCTAGTTATATTTCAATTCTTAAATATTTATGCTGTAAGGATGTATGATATCTGTTTCTTGCTTTGTAGGTTTCAGAAATGTTGGGCTGAAGAATCGCGAAGGCCCAAACCATGGCTTTTAAGAGCATTCAATAGTAGCCTTGGGGGAAGGTAATA